CCAACAAGGTAAAGGTAGCGCTTGCAGTCTTCCGTGTTCGATGGGAGCATGCACTCACTAATTGCCTCGTCTTGTCAATGAGCCTAGCTCAGCAAGTATTCCCATTTACTGTTGCTATGTAGACCAATTTTAACTCGGGTGCAATCTCGCTTATCCTTCACACAATTACTTCCAGATTGAGACCCTCACACACTCAGCCCTTACTCTCTCTCTTTCTCTCACTTTGTGCACTCTCTTGCCCTCAACCTGTGCACTCCCTCTCTCTCGCTCGATGCACTCTCTCCCTCTCTCCCTCTATGCACCCTCTTTCTCTCAATCTGTGCATTCCCTCTCTCTCTCACTATGTGCATTCTCTCTCTCTCTCTCTCTCTCTCTCTCTCTCTCTCTCTCTGTCTCTCTCTCTCTGAGAAAGAACTTAATCCATCACCCTCCCCGATCTGTAGCCTGCGCTAAAAATTTAAATAAACACAGTAAAAAGGAATAGTTTTTCTTGCAGGCCTGCGCTCTCTGACCGTGCGAGTTGCATGCAGGTACCAAGATTGTGACCAGGGTCTTACCTCTCGCCCCACTTCCCTGTCTGGTCGGAGTCGCGGAAGGGACTAAGCGTCTGCCCCCCCCCCCCTGATATTGGGTGTATCTGATTATCTGATCAATGACGGCCCTTGATTGGCTGATGTGCATCAACCTTGACTGGCTGGTCCGCAAAAGCTCCTCAATTAGCCACACAGCGAAAATGAAGTAAATGGACCCGCCACCGGTGAGAATGCTCGACTGCCCAATCAGCCAATGTAAGATGGTTCAGCCGCCAACAGCGGGAAGGTCCGACTCCTCAGGGACCCTTGATGAGTGAAGGTACTAGTAAAGCCCGGTTCCCTGATCAACAGAAGTGTCTGGCCCCGCCGATATATGAAATGCCTGATTGTCTGATCAACGACAGCCTTGATTGGCTGATCAGCATAAGTAAGGCAACTGGTCCCGCCAATATTTGAAATGCCTGATTTTCTGATCAACGACAGCCTTGATTGGCTTATCACCATAAGTAAAGCAACTGGCCCCAGCAAAGGTAAGGTAACTAGCAGCGGGATGCTAATTTGTATATCGTTCCCGCTAGCAGCGGGATTGTCAAATCTGAAATTCACTAATGAATCCCGTTCCCGCTGGCAGCGGGATGGTTACATTGAAGATGATTGAATACCGCTCCTACCTGCAGCGGGATGCCTGATTGTATCCCGTTCCCGTTAGCAGCCGGATGATCACACTGGAATTGATTGAGTATCGTTCCCACCTGCAGCGGGATGCCTGACTGTATACTGTTCCCGTTAGCAGCGGGATGATCACACTGAAATTGATTGAGTATCGTTCCCACCTGCAGCAGGATGCCTGACTGTATACTGTTCCCGTTAGCAGCGGGATGATCACACTGAGATTGATTGAGTATCATTCCCACCTGCAGCAGGATGCCTGACTGTATACTTTTCCCGTTAGCAGCGGGATGATCACACTGAAATTGATTGAGTAGCGTTACCACCTGCAGCGGGATGCTTGATTGTATACCATTCCCGCTAGCATCGGGATTGTCAGATCTGAAATTCACTAATTATCCCCGTTCCCGCTAGCAGCGGGATGGTTGATTGTTCACCGTTCCCGCTAGCAGCGGGATGGTTGATTGTTCACCGTTCCCGCTAGCAGCGGGATTGTCAAATCTGAAATTCACCAATTAGCCCCGTTCCCGCTAGCAGTGGGATGGTTGATTGTATACCGTTCCCGCTAGCAGCGGGAATGCCGGACAGTCTCTCTCTCTCTCACTCCCTCTCTTGCTCTCTCACGCACACATCTCTCATAGTCATAGTCTTTTCCTCACTCTCTCACTGCACAGTCTCTCTCTCTCACTATGCAGTATCTCTCTCTACCTTCCTCTCTCTGTCTCTCTCACTCTCTCTCTCTCTCTCTCTAAAAGAGAGATATCTGTTCCCCCTGGCAGCGGGAAGCTCAATCAACCAATCAACAAGTGTCTGCCCGCTTGCCGCGGGAAGGAAAAGTGAGATATTTGTTCCCCCTGGCAGCGGGGAGACTCGTTCAGCCCGTTAATAATTGGAGAAATGTGTCCCGCCTGACACTAATGTGCTCATAGTTTGATCGAACTTAATGATGTCGTAATCTGGTCCAAACGTCGATCCCAACGGTCATTCCCTGCGGTTCGAAGTTCCCCTTATGGAGCAAATACGGATCTTTGATTGAGGCCTTCATTCGTAAGAAATAATCATTATTTCACTGTGAAGATGTTGTCTCTCGCGGACCCGAATAGAACACATGGTCATCATAACTCTATTCGGGCATATTTCAATCCAGGTACACTGAAGCCAACAGTTGGTTCTATTCCGCCCAAACAACAATGAGGGATGCTAGCCATAAGCATCAACGCTGCATTTGTCAAGCGTTCATCAGTTCTCCTTTTGCTGGTCTATCTGCCATCTCTTCCTCCCTTCTTCGCTCTCACACTCTTACCCTCTCTCTCTCTCTGTGGGTGAGTGCAGAGCGCCAACACTCTGATTTGAGCTACCTCTCTCTCACTCTGAACAGTCCCTCTCTCTCACACTACACAATCCCTCTCTCTCTCTCTCTCACACTCACACGGAGTCTCCCGCTCCCGCTGTGCAGTCCCCTTCTCTCTCACTCTCCCCCTCACACGCAGTCTCTCACCCCCGCTGTGCAGTCCCCTTCTCTCTCCCTCTCCCTCTCAC